CGCGGGCGCCCCCCGCACCCCCTCGCTCATCTGGGGGCGAGCGGGGGCAGAGGCGGCGGCGCATCCCCACCCGCTCCGCACCGTCCCCCCGCGCCCTCCGCCGCACTCACCCCGCTCCGGGCCCCCCGGGCGGCGGGGCGCGGGCGGCGGCGCCCCCGCGGGCCGGGGGAACCTCGCTGCCGGCGGCGGCCACCTCCGGGCTGCTTCCCCCCTCACGGCTCGCCCCCGACCCGCGCCGCTGAGAGGCCGCGGCGTGCGGGGCGGGCAGAGCGCAGGGGCTGCAGTGGCCGGCTGGCTGCTGCTGCTTCTCCCTCCTCCTGCCGGCGCCTCATGTGCCCTCCTCCTCCCGGGTCTCTCCTGCCAGGTCGCCGCCGCTCCAGCTCCCCGCTCTCCGGCGGCGCCCGGGGACCGCTGCGAACCCCTCCGGCCGGGCGGCAGCGCACGTGCGGCGGCTGCCGGGCGCTTTCCGCCGCCGCTGCCGGGCACGGGGCTCCTGCGGCCGCGCAGCCTCCTCAGGAGGCGGGGCGGCGCGGACACCCCGGGGGCTGCGGCGCCGCCCGCCGCCGGCGGGGCAGCAGGAAGGGGCGGGAAGCACGGAACGCCGCCGGCGGCTACCTCGGCGGCCGCTGGCTCCGTAGTCGCAGCGCTGCCTTTCCCGCCCCCCGGAGGCCATTACCTCATGGCCCAGCCCTGCCGCGGAGGAGGGGCCCAGTGTCGCCCGGCAACCGGTCCCCTGCCGCGGGACGGGCTGGGCAAGCAGGGGCCGAGGATGGCCGCGGCAGAGATGTTTGTCGCCGTGCGGAGCAGCCCGAGCGCGGCCGCGGGCAGCGCTGCCCGGCACTGCTCCCGCAGCTCCCGGGACACGCACAACCGACCTGGGCTGGTTAGAGAGGCGAATTCATATTTCCTATGAATGTCCCGTATACAGAGAAATGTCTCAAGTCCAAGTTCTTCTCCGCTCTTTTTGGTGATGCCCCGCCACAGGACAACGAGCAATGCATTACCATAAACTAATTCACAAGAAGCTTCACCTCAACATGAGGACGAACTTTTTACATTGAGGGTGACGGAGCACTGAACAGGCTGCCCAGGAAGGTCGTGGAATCTCCCTCTCTGGAGCCATTCCAAACCCTCCCGGATGTGTTCCTGTGTAACCTGCTCTAGCTCACCCTGCCTTGGCAGGGGGTTTGGACAAGATGATCTACAGAGGTCCCTTCCAAATGTATCCTGTGATAAATATAATAATTATTGAAAAAAAAAAAAAAAGTGAGAAACCCAGAGCAAGTCAGGACTTCATATACCTGCAGCTCACAGAACTATTTATTGAAGGAAAGTTTGATTGTTTTTGTCTGCTGGTAAGGGAGGAATAGAACTGTGTTCAAGGTTACAGCTGGCAAGACAAAAGAAAAAAAAAAAAAAGAAGAAAAAAAAACCCAAAAAGAAACCCCTGCAGCCATGCTGGTGGTGACAAGATTCCAGAAGTATGGAATAACCTCCAGAGAGTGTAAATTAATTCGGGGCTTGACCCCGAATAACCCATAACAATAAATGATCCAACCCTTCACAGATGCAAACAAAGAGAATCCCTGATGGGGATGTATGCTTTTGGGTGACAGAAAAGAGAGGAGAAGTATTGTGAGGGCAACAGGATTCTCAGGCAGCTGCCTTCTGAACAGGCCTGTCTACAGAACAAATCCCCTGCTAGTGATTTAAATGGGGCATGTGAGTCAACCTAAAAGCGTGGAGCTGCTGCCAAAAGGAACAGGCTGCTCTCCTCTTCTGTGGAGGACACAGGCACTCCTGGTTTTCTCAAGGGCCGATTCTGCTGCTTAGAATTCTTCAGTGAGTGACTCAGTTTACTAACCTCACACAGAACTAACTGTATTTTTTCCTTGTCGGTTTTCTGCCCCGTTACTGAACTGAATTGACTCACCCTAACATCATAGAAATATGGAATAAGCACAAAAGATGAGTTGAAACCATTAGTCTGGGAGGAAAGGGACCCACCCCTCTGGTAACCTTGCACTCTTAAATCATCTCAGCAGTCTCATCTAAATCTTCCCTAAAATAGAAATTTCACATTACTGCTAAGAAGTCTAACATCACAGTATCACTAAAAAGGTTGGTGCCTTCCACTTCTCACCCTTAGCTGAGTCCTCCCATTGCTCCCTTTGTGCTCAATCTTGAATATGTGTGACCATTGCCAGTGAGCAAGCTAAATCAGGAGGCTTTAAAAAAGGGTTGCTTTCTGATTAACACTGAAACAGCTAACTATGAAGTCAGATGAGTGACAGAGGTTGCACAAGAGGGGAAACAAGACTGGGAGGTTGCAAAAGATGGATGGAGCCCCATAGCAGCAGCTGGGAACTCGGTATAATGTGTAACATAAGGCTGAGACAGAAGTGAGGACTAATGGTCTGTACGGTGAAGGAGAAGTAATTTGAGGAACAAAAGTTTACTCTGTGCTTTACATACTATAAATGAGAAGCACAGAGGTGAAAAAAAAAAAAAAAAGAGCTTTCAGTTCCAGAAAAACAGGGGAAGACATAGAACAGAAGTACCTTGGAATCTAGCCCAGGAAGAAGATCAAATGCTGAGGGAAAAAAAAAAAGAGGAAAAAAAAAAAAAAAAAAAAAAAGAGAGAAGGCAGAGGGAAAACCAGGAAGTAGAAAAGTGAATATTTGCACCAAACACTCCAAGAAACAAGTATGCATGGTTGTAGGTTTCTTATTGAGAAAAACCAATTGACCTGTCACGTCTGTAAGGAACAAGGATTTGAGATGTACTGCTGAGACTGAAAAGGCTCTTGTTAAAGTGGGCAGAAGTCCTTCACAGTGGGAGAAATGGCAATGACATGCACTGTTTTCTCACACACAGTATGTAGAAAAGAGAACCTGGGGCTATGGGATTGCCAGGCCCTTGCATGCAAGGTGTGCATCTGTACACTGGTCATATGATATGGTAGCAATTGTTCGGTACTGCTGTGCCAAATCCTCATGATGATTTTTTGGTCATGTGGTGCTACAGTACACGTAAGCATACTCCACTGCATTTCTATCACCAGCTCAATTTATTCACCTAATAATTCCAAAGCTGGCAATTAATGCGGTAACCAAATACTTGCAAAAAGTTTCCTAGATCTCTCTGCTCTCCTTCTGTTTTCATTATCTTTTCCATTTCCTCTCTCTTATTGATTTCATCATATATGATATTATCGTAACATGATATTTTCATATTCATTCTCAATTTTGCTTTCTTGTTACATCTCTGGAAGAGACCTTATTTCCACCCTGCTAAAATACAGCACCTTTCAAATGTACTTTTCAGTGAGCATGCTGAAAAGTATGTTAATAAAGTATATTATTTAAAAGTATATTATTAAAATATTTCTTGTATTCCTCACCATTCACTGTCCATAGAATCTCCTTTATAGACCCTATAGAACAATCAAAGAATACAATAAATGCTTTAAAAGCATTTGAAACCAGTTCAAGAAATCTCTGATTAGTCTGCCAGCTGAAGACTCCAATTGCAGCTGCAATTGTGGGGTAAATTATTTTAATCTCAGAGAACAAACTAATTCTAATGGGCATTACCAAGTGTTTGGAGAGCAAAAAAAAATCTCTAAAACATACCCTGTGTTTCTGAATAGCTGCCATGGAGTTAAGAAGAAAGGAGTTGCAATGCTTTCTCTTTTCATTCTTCCTCCTGGTACCTGGTGTTGCTGGCCCCATTTCTCACACATCTATATCAGCATGAACTAAGTAATGCTGCAAATTCTTTAAAAATATCTATGAAGTGTCTGCATAACACTGTCTGTACAACATTGTTTCTCGTTTAAATGGTGTTTTTTTGTAAAGCTGTCATTGCTTTTACCTGAATATCAAAACATGCAGATTCTTGCAAGTTGTCGCATGGTAGCACATGAAAATTAAAAATATAAGTACTTTTGACTGATTTTTTTCTTTGTTGATGTTTGGGGGTTTTGTTTGCTTTGAAGGGTTTTTTTTTTTTGGTTATTTATTTGTTTTGTTTTACAGGATGTTATTCAATGCTACCTTTGCTGGAAAAATCAAATCAGCAGAAAAGCTTTTCTTCAGAGCTTTGTGCTTCTTTCAGCTAGCATCGGGAGCACCAATGCCTCCCCCTTCTTCAACTGCATCTCTGCTGGAAATTTCTTTCCTGTATAGGGATTGCATATTTCAGGAGCAGTACCAAATTATGGAATTGGGCTGAAGTGTTATTGTGACTATGACCTATGGAGAGCTGATGCTGATTTGAGCAAAAACACATGGAAAATGAGACGCAAAATAAAATAAAAAAGTAACTTTATGGACCAGCTAAAGCATAAACACAAGCTGAGGAGAGAAATAAAATAAAAGTGAAAAGATTTTAAGGAGAAAACTCATAAAAAATTTCCTTCATAGTGGATAATAAATAATAATTATGTCAAAAGAAGCATTATTCCAGATCTTACAGTTCGAGGAAAAAACAATGGAGGCAACAGTGACTCAGAGGATGGGGTTTTGCATATATTTTGCATTAATGAGATGCAAGTTGGAATAAACAGTTTGTAAAGCTAAGATTAGCATTATAAGTGAAGTCAAGTACACAAACAAAGAGGAAATGAAATGCAAGATAGTGGAATAGTGATAAATGTACCAGGCATGGATTTTGCAAGAAAAGGAAAAATTAAGCGAAGTCAAATGAAAATTACACCATGGAATGATGATAATACTTCTGACATTGTGACTTTTAATCAGAAAGCAAAAGATATCCTGAGTATACAGTCTGAATCTTCATAATATGCAACATAAAAGCCACTGCTTGCTGCTGAAACAGTAATTTTGTATATGTGATAAAGAGGCATGACTCTTGTGTGAGTACAAACTGCTGGATGTAATTGAAGAAAACAGGATGTTCTCCTGCCATGTTATGTTCTCCTGCCCGGTTCATCTGTTCCACCTCGAACAGATTAAAAGAATTCAACCAGCATAGCATGCTTTACACACTATTTATTGCATTAGAACAAGAAAATGATTATTGAAATACACACAAAAATACATAGTTTTACGTAATCTCAAAATTACATAAGCAGAATGGCAGTCACTGAAAAAGCAAAATGTTGACAAGGCCTATTCAGCTTCCCTATCTCGGCAACACAATCATCATCATATTTTGGAAGCCAGCTGAGGAGGCTGAGGTGTTGAGAAGGCTGTTAGTAGTGAACCTTACAGCAAAAGACTATCAGCTCTGCCAGCCAGGCTCACAAAGCCAGCATCAGAGCTGATTATACTCAGGAATGTGATATGAGAAATGCCTGGCAGAAGCTGTGGCAATCCTTTACAAACAACTCCATCTCCTTACCAGTTAATACAAACAAACGAAAAGGAAGTTGGTCCTGACTGCAGTATCATACACAGAGCAGTTCCTGATTTCCCAGGGAAACCAACATATTTTGGGAAGGTAAAAATACCTTGTAATATGCCAACCTTTAAAGGTATTAACTCAGAGAGTATTCAAATTTTGAGCATATCATCACTTTCCAACCTTAGGCATATGCAATGCACTGAGACCATAATAGAGGAGGAGGAAACACAAGCATGGCATACATGCAGTACTGGTAACCTTGCAAGTTGATCCAGTGAGTTGAGATTTGGAGCCTTGTTATCTTACAAGAAACACTTAATAGTTTTTTTGCCTCACCAGTGAGGCAAAACTTTGAAACACCACCTCATCAGTTAGACAAATTTTCAAACATTATTGCAAAACACAAACTGCTCTGTAATAATTTGAAAGTGTAGAGGACAACTCTTTGATGGAGAAAAAATTTTCAAACAAGAATCCCAGAAGCCACCTAAGAATTTGAAAAGTCATTGCTATTTTCAAATATCAGAAATATATGATACTAAAACAGTAACATTTGAATTTATTTAATGAATTTGAAATGGACCAATAAGTACAACAGAGTTGTACCAGAAAACCAAGATGACAAAATTGTAATATCATAATATCAAAATTATATCATAAACACATATTGATGTTATCACAGAAATACAAAAATAAAGAAGAACAAATATTCATTCAAATGATGAAAATATATACCAGTTTCAAGAGGATGCTGGAAAATAATCTGAAAACAAAAAGCACAAGATAAAGATGTGCCCATTTCCACCAATTTGCCAAAAAGGTCAAACACCAGAAAAGTGTCACTGTGCACTTCCCAGGAATGATAGTATTGTCAAGGCAAATGGAATATAAGAATATTTTATTTGAGCAACTGAATCATCATGCCCTAGATGCCGAGAATAGAAATTCTCTTGAGAATGGGGTCAGTCTGGAATAGAAATAAACACCGTGTACTAACAAGAAGGGATAGAGCATGAGTAATCATGATATCTGAAAAAAAAAAAAAAAAAAAGCTAGTACATATGGCAAAATAAAACAACAGTATAGCATTTCCAACAGGCATTAGAGCACACTGAAGAACAAATCTTAAAAAACATGGAAACACACCTCAAAATTATAGGCTACTAGTCAGACTTTTGAGAACCAAGCAAAATGTCAGAGGCTTAAGCAGTAACCATTGAGGGTAGAGCAGTGAAGTGTTTAAGCATGCCTGAACTGTGTGCTTGCAATCACGAGATCTCAGTTTGCCTTAAATTAGATCATATATTTATTTGAGAACAAGAATTTGATTACATCTGACTGTCCTAATAGCAAGGCAAATAGCAAGGCTGAGTTTGCTTCACAGATTGCTAGGAGTATTGAAATGGTGCAAACAGGACAAAGAATATTTTGCATTCCGTTCTTGAATGCTGAAAATATTCCCATAGAAAAGCTCAGTGCAGTTGAGTACAGTGCGTGAAGTCATGTTCAGTAAAAGGATAAAGGAGTAATAGACTGAAAGAGTAAGTAAAAAGCCAAAGAGTCTTTTAATTACAACCCTGATCTGTATTTGTAATACTTTATTTCTGCAAGACTACTCTCATACCTGAAGAAATATGTTTGAAGAAAGACTCCTCCTTTCTTACAACAAATCAAAGGGAAAATTCCCCATCTGGAGTATATTGAAACTGTGCACCCAGATTTTAAAATCATACAGACATGTAATGAAATGTGTATCAACAATAAAAAGGTACCCATAATTCCTAATAAGGAGCTGATGGAAAAAAAGATGGCATAAGTCAACATATCTCTCTATGTCTGCCTTTAATCATACTGAAATTTTTTTATCATGGACACATTTAATTTCAAAAGCTATAAAATATCTTGTTCAAGTGTTACTGAACTTTTTTATATGTTTATTTTAGTGTGTTTCTCTTGCTCTATTTTGTAGTTCTATTGCCACTATTATATGAAGATTTCAACAGACTTCATTAATGTTAAAGTTCATACAATCTCACTCCCCCAAATGGGGGAGTGAAAAAACAAAAACATAAAACCAATCCCTAACCTGGTCTAATTTAACAGAAAGCGTACATAGGACGAAACATGAGACATCTGGAAGAAAAGACAGTAACTTGATAGTTATTGTGGTTTAGTTTTATCTTCTTGGACAGGGACAATGAAATTGACTTATTCTAAGATGTGCCATTGAACTGCTGCCAGAACTTGTGTGCAACTGAACTAATACTCTATTCCTTCTTCTTTATATCAGTCATTCTTATCACAACCACAGATAAAACACACATTTTTCTGAACTCTAAATAAATCCCTCTTCAAAGCATACTTTTCTTGTGCTTATTAATATAAAGTGATGTCTACTTACGCATTTGGTTTATTTATATCTAGTCAACTACTCATTTACATTAAAAACAGAATGGAAAAATTATCTTACTTGTGCAGCTTCAAAGCTGTAGCTTCATTGATAATTACAAGTCACCTCTGCAATTGCTCAATACTTACAGTGTAAAATGGGACAGAGCATCAACTTTCTCAGCCTGTCTTCATAGGAAAGGTGTTCCAGTCTCCTTATTCCTTCATGGCTTCCTCTGGACTTGCTCCAACACTTCTGTGTCTTTCTTATTTTGGAGGAACCACAGCTAGATGCAGCACTCCAGGTAGGGTCTCACAAGAACAGGGAGTACAGGGACAGAATCACCTCCCTTGCCCTGCTGGCCATGCTCTTTTTGATGCAATCCAGGATACATCTGGCTTTCTGGGCTGCCAGCCCCCACTGCTGGCTCACATTGAGGTTTTTGTCAACAATAAAGAGGGGTTTGAGGTATTTTTTTTTCCCTTTTCAATATTACAGGAGTTTAAAATCATGCAGAAGTCTTCTCGAGAGTGGGAGTAAAAAAACTGACCATCTGTTATCATGCTGTCTAGAATATTTCCTGTAAGTGTACTGCTTATTTTATTTTATCAATCTTGGTTGAAATGGATCAATGGGTTCAAACCTGTTATAAAGTAAAATAAAGGTGAAACAATGAGAAAAAACAGAATTCTTTACAGATTGCTCTAGAGCAAACATTTTTAAATGTTTCATTAGAATCATAGAACGGTTTGAGTTGTAAGGGACCTCAAAGACCATCTAGTTCCAACCCCTTGCCATGCCTAACCAATCACTATACCAGGTTTCTCAAAGCCCAATTCAACCTGGCTTTGAACAATTCCAGAAATGGGACATTCACAGCTTCTTTGGTCAACCTGTGACAGTGCCTCACCACCTCCACAGCAAAGATTTTTTTCCCTAATATCTAATCCAAATCTACTTTCTTTCAGTTTGAAGGCTCTTGTCCTGTAACAACAGTTCCAGGTGTTGACCAAAAGAAAAGGGTTTTTAAGGGTCTTACAAAAACAAAACCAGACAAGAAAAAATGGAAATAACCCCAAAACAAACAAAGAAAACAAAGAAACAAACAAACAAAACAAAGAAACAAACAAAAAAAACCCCAAAAAAACCCCAAAAACAAACCAAACAAAAAAATTCCAGATCCCCATAGAATGAAAAAACCAGTGAAAACTCCACGCTGTTGTCAGACATAGAAAACGCTTGTTTCAAGGGCTAAATTTTGCCACAAGAAAAGCATCTCTCCATCAGGCGCTTGCAGAAGGCCAAGGCAGGGCTGAGGACGCTATCTGCCGTTTTGTCTGCGAAGGCAGCACAGAGCAGCCCCACCACACGGGCTGCCGGCCGCAGCCGGACCTTCCCCGCCGGACGCGCCGCCGTGCGGGCGCTCCCCGCGCCGCCACCCTCCCCGCTCGCTGCCCGGTGGTCCCGCCCTGACGTAGGCGCCCCTTAGCCCAATGGGGCTCCACTCTGCTTCCGGCGTCCGGCGCCGTCTCCTGGAAACGGGCGTGGGGTGGCGACCATCAGAGTAGCGTGCGGGGGGTGCGGGGAGGCAGCCCGGTGGGACCTGGCGGTGCGTTCCAGCTGGAATAAAGGACAGCAAAACTTTCCAGTTCCCGGAGTCACCCTGCCTGCTGAACCGGTGCCTTTTCCGCTTGCCTGTATTTTGTGGCACGCACGGACGAGTGTCCCGTCCGGACACTGCCACCGGGACATGGGAGACTCCGTCCCGGGGGCGGGGCTCCGCCTTTTCGTTTGATGGCGGCGGCGTGGCGGTGATCCATCCCGCGCCGCACTACGGCTGTCGTGCCCATCTTTTCCAGCCGGCTGCATCCCCGCACACGTGTACCGCTGTCGTTCCCATCCTTTCCAGCCGGCTGCATCCCAGCCACAGGTATGAGTGTTGTTCCCACCCCTTCCCAGCGGTTGCATCCCCTGCACACAGGTGCGGCTGTCGTTCCCACCCTTTCCCGCCGGTTCCATCCCCGCACACAGGTACGGCTCTCGTACTTTTGCCCTTTTCCCGCGCACGTTCGCGGCCGTTACCTGGCGGAGCGCGCGCGCCCAGCGGCCCCGCACCGCCCTCCTCCCATCCCTCACCGCACTCCTCCCATCCCTCACCGTCCTCCTCCCATCCCTCACAGCCGCCCCCCATCCCTCACACCACTCCTCCCATCCCTCACCGCCGCCCCCCATCCCTCACCGCCCTCCTCCCATCCCTCACAGCACTCCTCCCGTCCCTCACCGCCCTCTCGTTCCTTCCGCCGCTGTCCCTCAGTCCGAGTGCGGGGACAGACCCGGGGCGGGGCTGGAACCCCGCGCTGGAGCTCTCCTGAGACCCCACGGCCCCTCTCCTGTGCTGCAAGTGGGTCGGGAGGCGGCTGTTTGCGGAGCCGCCGTGCCGTGCCTCAGGCCTGGCCGCCCCCGACAGAGCTGGGATCGCGGGTCGTGCGCGGGCTGCTCCCTTCGGAGTGGTTTGGCCATTCCCTCGTAGAGAGAACCGCGTCTCCTTGGTGTGCTGGTCCTGTATCCAGCCCAGAGCAAATCAGGTCCCTCGGGGCCTAGAGGCTGCCGCTTTGGGTGCCTCTGTGGAGTTTCACACCTGCTGCCTTGCTGCCTTACAGGTGGTGGTTTGGGAGGCTTCCATGATGGCCTTCTTACCTCATCTTTTCACCTTTTGTATCAGTTTAATTGTTCTCTTTTTACTTTATCTCAAAATCCATCTGTTGAAAGTCTGTTTTGTGTGTCAGGGAAGCTGTGGGTGTCCCATCCCTGGCAGTGACCAAGGCCTGGTTGAATGGGACATTGAGTACAGTGTTCTGGTGTTATGTGTTCCTGCCCACAGCCAAGGGCGTTGGAACGAGATGATCTTTAAAGGCCATTCTAACCCAAGCCATTCTATGATTTTATGATTCTATGCTCCATTGGTTTGTGTACTGGAATAAAGGCATAGGCATTACTCTTGAGAGTGAGAGACTATTCTCTTTCCCTGTAGCCTCTTGCATTTCTACAGATAATGCTATTTAGAATTCGTATCTACTAGCCTGTCTATTACTTTTTGAATAAGATCTTTGGAAGTGTAAAATTCACCTTTTCAAAATTTTGATCACATTTCCTGAGAGAAGGTCTTCTGTAAAGCAATTATTTCAATCTTTCTGGAAGTATGGAATATATATTCATGGTAATGGGGAGGGTGACTAGTATACATGAATGGCCATTAAATTTGAAGGCTTCCCCTTTCTCCTCCTTTCTTTAGGTTTATTTGTTTGTGCGACTAATGCCATATTTCCAGTCTGTTGCCTGTGAATCATCCTAAAGCATGGAGAACTTTGTTTTGTATGACGATATTGGAAGAGGAAATATGACAGTTGTTTATAAAGGAAGAAGAAAGGGCACAACTGATTTTGTTGCCATTGTTTGCAGTGATAAATGCAAGAGAGCTGGAATAGCAAACTGGGTAAGTAATGAGGTTTCTTTTCCTGCTAAATCTGGGAAAAAAATACAGGCTACAAAATTCCAGTTGCACAACTTACAGAAAAATGCCATGTGCTTCTTTAGGTGGAGTTTGTCCCATTTAGACCAGCTTCTCAAGATTTTAAGTTCTTATTCTTTAAATACAGTCTTCTTTTAATGTATATATTTCTTCATGTGATTTTATTGATTTTTAGATTGTATGCATAAACACATGTTTACAGTCTTACTGTTTCTGTGATGTGTTAGTGAACTTGTAAAAATAGTTGCATGTGGTGGTTTGCTTTTTTTTGTTATTAGTTGTGCAAATCCTGTGGTAGCAGTAACTTCCAGTAAACAATCAATTTCTTGCTTAGCAAGAAGAAATTATTTTTGATGAAAGAATATAATTTAAGTTAAATCAATTTTGGTTTGTAAAACCTTGGCAAAGCTTTAAATACGATACTGTCTGGAAAGGAAATTTATACAGTTATACGGTTCAAATATTTTGTTTTTCCAGTAGGTAAATTTTGTTTTTGTAGTGGGTTAACCCTGGCTGGATGCCAGGTTCCCACCAAATCTGCTCTAACACTCCCTTCTTCAACTGGACAGGAGTCAGAAAATACAATAAATGGGTCAAGATAAGAGTAGGGAGAGATCACTCACCACTTGCCTTCAAAGGCAAAACAGACTCAATTTAGGGAAAGTAAGTGAATTTATTGCCAGAGTAGGATAATGGTAAATAAAACCAAATCTTAAAACACCTTTCTCCTACCCCTCCTTCTTCCTGGGCTCAGCTTTACTCCCAATTTGCTCTCTATCCTCCCTTGCCAGAGATGCAGGGAGATGGGGAGCAGGATCAGTTCATCAGATGCTGTCTATGTCGTTCCTTTCTCCTCATGCTCTTCCCCTGCTCCAGTGTGGGGTCCCTCCCATGGGAGACAGTCCTCCACAACCTTCTTCAGTGTTGGTCCTTCCCACAGGCTGCAGTTCTTCATGTGCTGCTCCAATGTAGGTCCTTTCCGCAGGGTGCAGTTCCTCAGGAACAGGCTGTTCCAGTGAATTCCCTGCCAACAACTGGCATGGGCTCCTTTCTCCATGGGTCTGCAGGTCCTGCCAGGAGTCTGCTCCAGCACAGACTTCCGAGAGAGTCAAAGCCTCCCTCAGGTTTCCATGTGCTTTGGAGTGGAGTCCACCACAGGCTGCAGGTGGATCTCTGCTCTGCCATGGACCTCCATGGGCTGCAGAGGGACGGCTTTGCCTCACTGGCCTTTATAAGGGGCTGCAGGGGAATCTCTGCTCCAGCTCCTGGAGCACCTTCTGCCCCTCGTTCTGCACTGGCCTTGGTGTCTGCAGGGTCGTTTCTGCCACACATTCTCACCCCTCTGCCCTGCTGCTGTTACACAAGAGTGTTTTTCCTCCTTTTAAAGTGTTATCCTGGAAGTGCTGCCACCATCACTGATGGGTTGGCATTGGCTGGCAGTGGGTCTGTCTTGGAGCTGGCTGAGATTGACTCTGTCAGACACAGGGGAAGCTTCCAGCAGCTTCTCACAGAAGCCAGTCCTGTAGACCTCCCCATCTGGATACCAAAACCTTGCCATGCAAAACTGATAGTGTCAGATTCCCTCTCATTGTTTCAAAGATCATTTCTTGGGAACTTTTTTTGTTCTTAGGAGTGTATTGTCTTTACAAATCTCTTGGGGATACCTTACGTACTACTCTAACAAGAAACAGGCTTCTGTAGAGATTAGGCCATGTAGGTATTATAGAAATACAGATTTTCAGGGTCTCTTGAATGGTTTTCTTTGTCTGAAAGATGGAAAAGCTTCTTTTCACTTCTTCCTGTATTACCCCTCATTTGTATTCTTATTGGAAAAAAAAAAAGCAGGAGTGCAAATTTGACTCTAAATTCTGATTCTAAATTTCTAGTTTATTATCTAGTGGCGCAGGAAGACTAAATACTATTTATAATTTTAAGTTGGGAACTTACTAGTTTTTTTTCTGTATTTTAAAAAAAGGCGAGTTGGGCAGGGTCCGTGAGGAAACTTATCTTTTCTCAACATACATGTAACACTGAAATATTTGAAGAATAATGTTAGTGCGCTAGAAAAGGCAAGAGAACAAGTAGCTAATCTAGAGTAGATTTTATTTTTTCTTGTTTCCATGCCTCAACTCCGTGTATATACATTTATGTCTTTCCCCCACTTAAGTATGTTAAAAACTTCACTCTAGGTTCGTCTGACTCAGGGACTCACGCATAAGAATATAGTGACATTTTATGAATGGTATGAAACAAGCAACCATCTCTGGCTTGTAGTGGAATTATGCACAGGTAAGATAAGCTCAAAGGTAAACATTTATAGAATGAGTATTTATAAGAGATTTCTTACAGCTTCTTTACAAAAAATTCTTAGATTTTTGAAAAAAGTGTAATTATCTGATTATTAACTTGAGAATCTTGTTTATATATAAAAGTAGTTTTGCGCTTGGAAACATTTTTAGGAATCAGTTGAAATCACGCTCTCCTCTGCTTCACTGTATGCATCTTTGAAAAGTTAGTTGAGTTATATAATGCTGGCTTTTAAGAGTTGAAGAGAAAAGGCCAATCAGGGAATATAAAAGCAAATTAGGAATAATCAGAAGGTAGTTCAGTAAAAATTTCTTGAGAAGTTTTCTAAGGACTGGCAGCTTTGACATTCTCTTTTAAAAGATATCAAGGAGCAAATCAAGTTATGATGTTCTAATGACTTAATATTATTCAAATTAATTTTTATTCAAAGGGCATTTCAGCAGCTAAAGTGAATGATTTAATTTTTTTTCCTATTCAGTATAAGTATTTTGATTTCCATGTTAAAATTATAATTTGGAAACTCTGAGGACCCAGAACTGCATTAAGTGGTTCACTTAGTTTTGATAAGTCCTTATCAATCTATTAAAGGAATCTTGTAAACCTTTCTTTAATTGTGGTGAGTGCGTGTTTTAAACTTCTGACAGCATGCTTTCCTCCATATGGAAGGAATTTATTCTTTTAACTTGTACAGCAGGAATCTGGTTAAGGAATTTTAATAAAAGCATGGGAGACTATTACACTGTGAAGTGACACAGCTCCTGGATTTATTTTTTCTCCTTCTGTTTCCTTTGTAAAATAATATTGAAGTAGTTTTGAAGTCATGCAGTGAGTTTTATTCCATATAAAATTAAGCTTTTGTCACGGTATTGAAAATAATTTTTTTTACATCTTAGATTTTGTAACTATTTGATATCAAGAAATATTTTTACTATCTACTGATACTGCTTTTTGATTGACATCTTTTGAAGCAGTTTATGTAATTGGTCATTACTTATGTGACCTCTTCTTTATATGCACTTGCTGACTGTGTGTATTTCAGGTGGTTCTCTAGAATCTGTCATTGCTCAGGATAAATGTCTACCAGAAGATGTGGTGAGGGAATTTGGTGTTGAGCTGGTTACTGGTTTATACCATATTCATAAGCATGGAATTATCTATTGTGAATTGAAGCCTGGAAAGGTGAGGAAGGGTATTATCTAGAGGGACACTGGATGTTTCTTTTCATGCAATCAGCATTTATTTTATTGTTTGTATTTTATCATTTGGAAGGAACTTACCTCCGTTGTGAGGTCAGTTGAGTTTTATAATATATGTGAAGACAATCAGAGACAAGTCTGTAGATTGAATATTTTATGGAATAATTGATTTCTTTCCTTGGTGTATATCTGATACAATGTGATATATTCTTTTTGATTTGGTGTACTGATTTAATTTAATGAAAAATTTTAGTGCTCTGTCCTTGGAGACATAAATTTATTGTTATTCTATCATGCTGCAGAATATTTTGCAGTCATAGAAAATGCTAATGAGGGAGTAAATTTAAATAAAGTTTCTTAGTAACTTTCTATATTGTTTGCACATACCATGGAAATGATCATCTTATTCCTGTATAAAAATACAAGTCTTATGTAGTTTCCCATTTTGTGTATGTGTGTGTCATTTATGTAGATGTTTGCTAAAGTCTGTGTTTGTTTTTAATTCATGTAGCCACCAGAATATGACTATAACAAAAAAAATTTGCTTAACTGTAATTGGTTTTGACCTTGATTTGTCAGTGATCAAGTTGCCATTCTCTGGATCTTTGGTAAAATCTTCCACAATTCTACTCAATTCTTGTCATTTGTGGACCCAAAAGCACTAAAAATACATGAGTAAAGCATACTGTAGATGACTCAGTAGTCTTCCAAAGAAGAATGTTGCTGTAAATGCTCATTTCAACAGAAAGTAAATTGCTAAAGTTAAAGCTTCTTCTGTGCCCTGCCCCCTGCTTCTGGCTGAAAGGACTATATCTCTAAACAAGGTTTTTGGGATTATGAAGTTTTTAGTTGGAAGAATAAGCAGTGACTAGCCAGAGAAAACTCTCATTTGTCATCAGACAAAATCTGTGGAAGTTTCTGCTATGTAAAATTAGAGAAATTCCTTTTTTTTTTTTTTTTTTTTTTTCTCAAATGAAGCCTTGTTTGGTTTTACTAGACTTATATTTTCCTATGCAGTTTTAATCTTCTTTAACTATCTTTTCTTTAGTAACATCATTGTTTATTTCGATTTAATAATGAGTAAACGAGTGCACATTGAACCTCTTAAGGGTTCTATGGGGGTACATTTGGTTATAAGAAAAAAGACAGTATTGGCATTGACTTTAAAGAAAAACTTCAGTGTTTTTCATTATAGTCATCCTCTCTATGTACTTAAACGGTTTGAGATTGTGATTATTTTTATAATTAATTATTTATTGATGGAAATTTCAGTTTTAGTACGTGATACTAGCATATTGGATTTTGTTTATTCCAATAGATTCTACTGGAAGGGTCTGGCACTTTGAAATTCAGTAGTTTTTGCTGGGCTAGAGCAGATTTTGAAGACTTGGGAAAAGCTTTTGCTTTAGCTGGAGGTGAAGAAGATGAAGATATTAATGAAAGCACTCCACAAAAAAATATAGTTGAAGGTATGAGATTTTTACTAGCCAGAATTAACTTATACCGAAGAGACAGAATTAAAGTAGGAATATCAGTGATTATGATAAAGAGAAATTATTTAGAATTAATTCTGTTTTGGCTCAGAAAAAAATTGAGCTATAGAATTATTTATGGATTTTTTAAAAGTTTGTGCTGTAGATGCTCTCTGTAACATCTGGAACTAAATTCCACTAAGTTAAAGTAGAGAGAAAATTAGGGAAGTACTACACAGAACTACTGCTTCTTTCATTAGGCACTGCACTGCTGTACTTTCATTGTCCTTTTTGGTGCATATGGTCTAGGTTATTTCCAGTTTGAGGTCAACTCTTTCACTACCTTAAAGAATGATAATTTAATTTTAAAGTCTGAGAAAGTTACTGTGCTTCAGTTTCAACAGGCAAATCCATACAAATGCAGTAGACTGCAAATACTATGTTATTTTTTTTCATTGAATAAGAAAAAATCAGAAACTTGTTTTTAATCTTCTGAACCTTTTATTAGTCATTATCTTGGAACATCTCATAGACCTCTATTTCTAAGATAATGATGTCCCGTATATCAGTTATTTTTATCAGAAACAGCAGAATTTTTCATAATATTTTATGAAAACAAAGAGAGCTTTCCTTGCTGTCTCCTTCTGAAAGTCCACATTGGAAATAGTAAGACCAAGATCAGGTCTTTATTCAGGAGGAAATACAAATCTAATCTCTTTCCTGTTGCTCTTCGGAACTGTTTTGATACGTACGGTAATGATCTTTTGTCACTTAAACAAATAAAACACAAGAAGAAAAGAACTCATAGTAAAGGGTTTTGAAGGGACTAAGGAATTGGTACTTTTACTGTTAGTAAGTGTAATTTCTTTAGAGATTTTTGAGAACTGATGAGAACTACTGTAGAAATAGGAACTGTATATTTTATTCCTGTATCAAAAAGAGATTTGTGAATAAACTGCTATAATTTGATATGTGATGTTTTAATAACGTTTTAGTGGGAAAAGAGCCATAACTGTTTAGATCAGTGATTTCATTGGCTGCCTTGTTTTTTGTAAGAGTTTACTAGTTTTGTGAAGGTTTATTTCTTGGGATAGCTTTAAAAAAAAAGAAATACCAAATCTAATTTAATGGAATTATTTCTGTTACTCACATGAGACTGGTTTACCATTCTGCTCAAATTGCTTGGCTCTTAAAGCTGTTAAAGCAAATCAAAACTATCTTTGCATTAATCACTGTTTGAAAAGGGCAGCGCAAGTCAGTTTGATAACTGAAGTGAAATAAACAACAAAGTAGCATATATAATTATACATAATCCAGTGAAAGTATAGCAGAGAAGTTCCTTGGAAACTACTTTACATTTGCTATTTCAGTTTTCTTTTATGCTGAGTGAAGATAATCGGTAACTTGGTGAAGTTTGGAGACAAAATTTGAGGTGCTGAAAAAGATGAATGCTGAATGAAGAATCAAAGTGCATTAATTATACATTCTGTGTTTTCTAGGCTTTCCGTTATACACAGCTCCTGAAGCAATAAAGGGAGACAACTTCTGCAAAGCCAGTGATCTGTGGTCCCTGGGGTGTTTACTCTATGAAATGTTCTCAGGTTTTAAGTTTGTATATCTGCTTAATGTCTGTGATAATGGAATTGTAGTTTATGGTCCCAGAGTAAATTCTTACGAACTTTCTAGGGAAGTTAGGACATAGAAAAACTTGAGACAGGTTTTGAAGATTTCTTGAGGAACATGCTAACTGTGCTTAAAAGACAAAAAAAAGTGTCTTTATCCAAGAATCAGGTGAAACAATACTGTTAAGTGATCCTATTGACATCAGTACTAACCAACATGTAGGGTTTAAATACTATTATTTAAATTATGGCAGCCCTCAAATTCTGACAGTATAGTGTTTTTAATCTCCATGGTAGTAAACTCTGTGTGCATTATTTTAACCTTTGAAAGAGAAAATTGCCTTGCTATTGTAAAACTAGAGTAATTTGATTCCCTGAACATAAAGTACCCATTAGCTTCACCTAGAAGGAAGCTTCATCACAGAAGAGAATTACACTGCAGTCTTCTTAAACCTTAAGCAAAACACTGATCTGTTGGATCAACACAGTAACACAGATATGGAGATTTCTGTATTTTCCTGTTGTCTCATTTCTGATTCATACAGGGCTATAAAGGCTACCTCCATCAAGCCATCTTTGGTGCCTCTTCTGTCTGTGGTTTCTTTTGCTCTTCATGATGAAAGAATTTAATCAAAGATTTGGAATTTAAAATTTACAAGAAAACTTGATAAATAGTACTCAGACTGAGGTTGTTTATTTCTTTGGATGCTTTCTCAGGAAAATGAGCTCATGATAAATCATTGTACCTTACAACCATTTTGAAGTTTGGCTAATCTGTGAAATACACTTCCATTTGTTTGTAGGAAAACCGCCATTCCTGTCAGAAAGCCGTTCTGAATTAATTGAAAAGATTTTATCTGAAGATCCGTTGCGACCAGGACCAGAGGGTAGGGTTCTGTTATTATTTAATGGATCAAGTCACTGTAATACTTAAAAAGTTAAAGCTTTGGTTTGCCCTATTTCTTCTGAGGCTTGTTGCAGGAATCAGTTAGTTGTCCAAAGTGAATACTAGCAGTGCCTTCCTGTGATAATTCCCTGTTAGTGATGAATGCTTGTTTCCCTTTTGACAGTGACATGTATAATTTACTTTTAATTGTGAACACTAAATCTACCTACTGGGGTGGAATTTTTGATCTTGGTCATTTTGGGCATTAGTGTTATTCACAAAGATCCTTATATATTAGTCTCTTTTTCACTTGAAGCAGATTTTAGCTCTACTTAATTTCTTCCTGGTGGCTATCTCATAATTGGAGGGTGCTTTTTTTTAAAACAAATTACAAATTAAAAAAAAAATATTAGTTTGGTGATGGAGCATTAGTAGTTTATTTGTTTTGGGGTTTTTTTGAGGATTCTTTGAAATGCAAAAGAGTGTATATTTAAGATTCTTTATACATTGAGATTTGTTTTCAGATGAAATTACTATCAAGAAAATTTTTTAGCATGATCTGCAGATAAGAGTGTGGTTTACATTGGGTGATGATTGTTTTTGCTGTCCAATACTGATCTTAAGTGCTTTTCTTTACAGGTTCTGCTTTTCACAAACCTTCTGCTGAGTTCATCAGTTTGCTTGATGGGTTACTTCAAAAGGATCCTCAGAAAAGGTAAACTGCCTAATCCATGACAGCTGTTTATATTGTCACCTCTGCAGAAAATAAAAATTATGATACTGTATGTATAGTTATTTGTAGATGACAAAGAATGTAGTAAGAATTTCATCCCTCATATAAAATGCACAGAGCAAACTGTGGTTTTTCTCAGATGAAGATATATAAAATTAATGTTTTCATTAAATGTGTCTTTTTTTTGTTTCTTTTTGTTTTTGTACCTGGTGCTAAATAGATAATTTTGTAACAGAATGATAGGCAGTTTAAAATTTGATGATGAAAAGCCTTTTGCTTTTCCAGAGCAATGGGCACATGTATTTCATTAGGCTTTAACTTAAACCTGATACAGTTCCATTGTTAAATAATTTAGGACTATAAGTTTTACGGTATGTCAGATAATTTGCCTGTAGGATTGACTCTGCAGTTCCCTTTATTCTTATTCTCATACCTCTGTTGCGTGAATTTTCCATTATGATTTAAGGCAAAGAAGTTTGTCCTCTAAGAAAGCATACTTGTCCAAATAAAAGCAAACCACAGGATTAACTGCTCTTTAGTGTCACTGTGTTCAAAACCTGGTCTGGTATGTTTCTGTGTGGTTGTACTTAGCCACTGCTTTTACAATTTGTTTGTTGCTTTTCCAAAGACTGAATTGGACAGAGCTATTGCAGCATCCATTCTGGAAAGGATCCCTTAGCCATTGTGGTGGTGGTTCTGCAGACAGACAGGGCACAAGCTTAAGGTACTGAAAGTTCAAGGAAGATTTCCTTTAGTAAATATAAGCGAAGATTTCATTTTATTGTCTGTACATTTTATAACCTTTGAACTTTTCTTAGAATTTTCATGAAATAAGGAATGGAGTTTTACACCATTCAGTGGATCGTTTTGGATGTTTAGGAATTGTATTATCCTATTAGTGTATTGTATAGTCCATTCACTTTCAACTGACTCCCTGCTGGCTATAGAATGTGTTGAAATTAACTTCTAAGTTAAATGCTCTCATTTTTATTTATATATTATGTAATATTGTTGTATGAATCTGACTTAAATTTTTTTAATGCTTTTTAAAATCTTATAAATATGGGTCAGTTTTATCTTTAGTAAATTTTTTAATTTGTTTTTATGCATTAGGCTTAGAGCCTCACAAAGCCTATCAGCACAGCATCTTAGAGCTGTGGTTCAGCCTTATAATCTTGCAAGAGCAACTGACCCATATTCTTTGCTTATGGGATGATGTATTAATCTAATAGTAGAGATTTTTTCCTAAGTATTTAATGCTCTACACTGCTACATATGCAAAAATACCCAAACCTGTTGTGCAAATGGTTTTTATGTATTAAAAAGTTAGTTTTCTTCTAGACTCCTCTTACCTTGCTGGGTTTTGTGTTTCTAATTTTAAATTAGGACATTTAGCATTGTTTTTTCTGTTACATGTTATAAATGTTTGAAAGATACTTCAGGTTCCAATCTGGGAACTAATGTCAAAATAGTTTTAGACTGCTGAGTTTTTTTTTGTTATATCTACTTCAGAATTTTCTCTCATGTTCTTTAATGACTATTTCTGGTACCAGTGCTGCAGTACTTTTGTTATTAATGTTTCTTATACTTTGAGATACAGCTCTTTGTCTTCTAATTTTATTACTGCTTTCGCCTGCAAAAAAATTAATATTTAAAATTTATACTATGAACTAAGATTTTATTCAAGGTTTTAGCAAGACTTACCTCAACATCCTGATAGTGCAAATTTTGGGGAATTTTCAGAGAACCAGAGGAACCTTAATCTCCTACAAAATATTGGGCTATTTGGCCATACTCTTGAGATTTTTCTAAGGCCTCTGAAATATCTGCTGATGTATGCACTAACTGACAAATATGACAAATGTAAAACATTGGCTTGACACACAAAGGAAGCTCAATACTCTCTCTTTTCCAACTGTGAGGCCTACGTATCTACTGTCTTCACAGTGTGGGTTGGATTAATATTTGATATCCTGGAGAGCCTTCATTAGGGTTTCATTACCAAGTTCCATGTGAATAATATAAGAACATGTTAAAAAATGCCCAAACAACCAAAACCAATAAAATTGCATTCAAGTGTTACAGTAAATCATTGCACGCACAAAAACGTGGTTTTGTGGTTTCTTGTGATTTTTCCTGTGAAGGTTAAAATGTCTGTAATACTTTTAGCATTTCTTTAGTATCTCTTGTATTATGGGGTAATAATTTAACTTTTTAAATGTCTTTCATTTAAGTTCTAATGATAGAATTTTTAATATTCTCCAAGTTATTTGTTGTAAACTTATTTTTCATCATTGCTATTACCAATATGAAAAGTATGTGCAACACATATTTAAAGAGTATATTGTTCTAGAGAATGGCAGCTAAACTGTATGCTAACAATTGCAACAGAAAATGGATATAATAAATTTCTTTTATAATCACTCCTTTTAAAATTTGTAATTAATATCATTTATTAAACAGCAGAGAAGACGCAGAGTCATCAATTTCTTGTAGTGCCAAAGCATCTGCTGATGATCATGAAAATCTAGATAACCTGTCATCCTCAAGGGCAGGTCTTAAACCACCAAGCAATTCTTTCAAAATAGGTAATACTGCTCATTATGTTATTTTTTAAACTATTTTATCAGTACTACCAACATACTTACTCCATATGTTTTATTTGATTTTAACATCTGAATACAAGTTCCTATTCTCTTTTTGGTAGAAACTCAGACTGAATTGAGGCCCAAAAGTGTAGTTGATGGTGAATCAAATGAATCCATATTTCTTCTCAGGTATGAAAACCTCCCTGTAATCCTGTCTGTTTGGTGTTGTTTTTTGTCTCTTCAAATATTCTATTATGACTGTAATACTGTGTCTGTGTTGCCTTTTAAATTTTCTGTTATTATTATTCTATTATTTCTAGTTAATAAATACTAAAATACATTTGAACAGCTGTGAAAGCAGTGTGTGTAGTTAAAGCTTATATAACTTTATTACTCTCATTTTTGAAAGTAAACTTTTGATTACTTTAACTGTTTGTCTAAAAAGAAAGCTCCGATCTAGAATTTGTTTGCATCTCTCTCTCTTTCTCTTTCTCTTCTCTCTTTTGGAGTGTAATTGCTTTAAATATATAAGAATAAACATTCAGCGTATGATCTCTTAATAAATTCTTCCTGCAGCTTTTCATTGCAAGATATTGGTAAGAGTCTATTAAGTACTACATGTATATTAAGTAAAAAATAGTGATTGATTTAACAGTGATTTGTTTTAGTTGAGGCCTGATTCTCAAACTTTTTACTAGCTTTCAAGCCAAGAAGGTTGTCTAGTGAAATACTTTTCAACATCAAGCAGAAATATTCCAATTTGAAAATACTCTTTTAAGCTTCTTGCATAACCTGAAAAACCTTTGTACATCATACTGTGTACAAAAGTTATTTTAATTGGTTTTATTAAAGTATGAATTCTCATCTCACTTATAATTTTTATCATCATAACTAAACATATATTATTAGTAATTTCAAGTAGCATTTGATTTAGCAAGCTGCTCAAAAGAAAGGTTACAATGGTAGTAAAAATGGAATCAAAATATTTTCTTAGCGATGTTATTTATTTATAAGTACATTAAATACAAAATTTGAAATGTAATGCAAACAACTGAAAAAAAATCTGTTCTGAAATTCTCTTTGCATCAATGATATAACATCAGAAAGGAGTGTATGTGATGTTTAGTAAAGTATTAAAACATTGAAGTGAAAGAAACTTGCTTACCTGGCACTTGGCATCAGAATTTAATTAGCTGCTGGAGTGGTTAATCATCTTTTAACAGCAGTGGCTTCTTCTACTTGTGCAACTGGAATAGATTTCATTCATTTTAACTAGTTTAATTCAGCAATCTCTTGTCTTGTTTTAAACTGAGAAACCATCTGAGAACTGAAAGAATAGGTACTATTGTCTGTATCTCAAACATATATGTCAGCAAACCAGTTGAATTGATTAAAAAAAATATATATTTAACAAATCTACATGTTTGGAAGCATGTGTTAACTTAGAATCATTTGTCCAGCCTCCTACCTTGAAATCATGGGAATTTTTTTTTGTTTAGGAATGAAAGTTGCAAGCATATTCCATACATTGTTTTTACCATAAATTTCATGTGTTTACCAAATATTTAATATGTTTTTATGTAGGTAATATTTTGGCATTCCTTCATTGTGCCCTTAAAATTTAAATTTCTGTTGAAAATAGATGGAAGATGAGAATAATTATGTTAATAATTTTATCACTGATTTCCTGAGGGTCTTTAATTTTTTTTATGTCTGTATTTCTAGTTTAGTTGTTTTTTCTAATAAATAAATATGATTTGCAACTATAAATGTGTCTATTACTTTCTGCTAATCAAGAAAACATGTTCATTCAAAGTAGTTGATTTAACTAGTTTCCTGGCCTGCCAATCATGATAATTCTAAAGTTGAATTTACATTTTTTAATTTAAATTATTGTGTACCATAAACCCCAAGGTCACAAGCAGCAAGCCTTATGACAATTGCAACTTGGCAGTATTCTGGTCTCTCTTCATTTTCTAATTAGCAGACAGAATTTCAAAAAAGAAAAGCAAAAGGTAAACCCAGTTCACAATGATTCACAAAAATTAGGAAGTTTTTAATTCCCATTAGTTAGCCAAAACTTGGATGTCAGATAAATAAATTGCAATTTTTTGTCAAGTTAATTGCTTTGTATGTTGCTTTTATAAGGAGTTAAGACAATAATGGTTTAGGTTCCATTTTATTACGGCTGATATAATAATTGATTTACATTCATTTCATAATTACAGCAAGATACCATCTTCCTTTTCTAACCAGCAAAGAAATCCTAACCTTGTCAGAACACATTCTAAGACAGAAAATTCATGTTTAGTTAATGGATCAGGGAGAACATAGTATAATTTATGTGTTGGTCAGCTATGAAAATTTGCAGTATGCCATGAAAGTTTCAAAACAGCAATAAAAAAGTAGTTTGCAATGAAACTTAATCTGTAGTCTTTATTATTTTTAAAGTATTTTTTCTTTCTTTTGCTGAAGTTCTCGTCCCACGGCTAGAACTATTTCTGCAGTAGAAGTACATGATGCTACTACTGTCCCAATCAAAAATTCTTTACAAGGAGATTCGTGGTTGAAAAAAGTGAGTGAAAAGTTTATATTGAGGGATGATGGTATCTATACAGTTAGAATATTAGCCTGAAGTCTGTGGCAAACTTAACTTTCTTTTGCATCCTTCCATAATTAAGTGTGCAAGTTGTTTGAAAAAAATACTTGCAGAACTTCAGATGTAGGAGTTAAGAAAGGTTCTTAGTCTCCTTTTTTTTTGGCTCTAGTGCATAAAAGACAAGTTATCATCTTTCTTCTCAATCTACATTTTGACCAAATGATTTTTCTTCCAATATGTTTCTTTTACCATAATTTGTAGTTGGTCCTATCTGTTATTACATAAAAAGCAAGTTAGAATATGTTTCCATTGCCAGACTGCTTGGTATAATGTTGAAATGAAATATTTTATGAATAAACAGTTGTTCTTCTTCTAGGTTGAAAATGTGTGCTCAAGTCAGCAGGATATGGAGTTAAAATTGAAAGAGCTCATTTACACTGAATCTGATCTTACTGTGACACCAATCATTGACAATCCAAAGGTATAGCAAAATAAAATACAAGATTCAGGAACTTGTGGTTGAGACTATTTTTGCAGATACATTTGTAATCAGGGTGAAACTCCTTTCCTGTATTTTATAGTTCTCATTTTAAAGCAGTTCCACCCAGTTATCTGGCAAGATCTCATACAATTTTTTGGCAGTCTTTATAATCCTATTGTGTTGCTTATTTGGAGGAATGAGTTATTTTGGGATTGAATAGTAGTATTAAATTATATCTTAGAAGAAATAGAAGCTGCTAAATGATGTGTTCAGTGCTTTGTAGATTTGTTTTCTGATAAGTTGCCTTGATATCTGTTACTTAAATGAACACAAGACTTCAGTTTGTTATACTGAAAACAAAGCCATCTATGAATCCTTCTAGATTAGGAGTTATACATGTACAGAATAACATTTGATTCTCTTTAGTGTGATAAAAATATTTCTATTCAATATAAATTTATTTTCCCTCTTAAACAACACCCGAAGCTGCAAAAATGTCCATCCTATTTCTGTTGTATGGATTCTAATGTATTGTATTGTGCTAACAGTTTGTAATGAGTCTCCTGAGCAGGGAAGCTACTGAAGTTTGACTGTAAAGAGCAAATAAAAAAAGAATCAGTGCTCTGCACTGCATTGACAATGTATTGTGCATTTATAGGCAGATGTATTGGTAGAAACAATGATAGGCAAGAGCCCCTTTAGTCTTCCTTTTGTTTCTGTGCCAGAAAAAATGAAGCAGTCTTAGCAACTTTACTCAGTAAATTGCTGATATAGGCAATGCAAGATTTTTCCTTGGAAGTGAGCATCTAAACTCATTAGGAATGTCTTACAGGTTTCAGTTTCTGTATTGGTTTAGTATTAACAATTCTTTTGGTTTGTTTTAATGGATGTCTTAACACTTTCAAAAATTGAAAATCTTACACAGCTACATAAGCAACTACCAAATAATATTCTTTCAATATGTTTGGGGTGAGAGGCGTTGTTCCTAGTGGAGATTTTCCAAGGGTTTTATATATATATATATATGTATATGTATGTGTATATATATATATATATATATATATTTGAATGCTACCACTGTTAATTTCTCAGTTCTCTGTCAGGACTCTGACACAAAGCCTTAGTCCTTCACTACTTCTTTTCTTACTACAAGTATAAGAGATGAGATTAGGGGTAGGTGCGCATACTGATGTGCACATATAGGCTAATCTGCTTACCATGCAATGCCAGACTCAGAATTAATGCAGAATATCCCACTAAGTTCCAGGGACATGTAATCAGAGTCACTGCCTGCTTGGTGATGACTCTGTAGTCTGCTTTTCAGACTTAAGGATGATACTGACACCTGGTAAATCTGAAGAGCTTGCAAGTTAATCTCCTGGAAAGGGATTTGCTAGATGCTGGCAGAATTTCAAAAGCTGAAATGTCAGCTTAAATTGTAAAATTTCCCTCTGTTCTGCAGATCTGTGGAATTGAAGACTTTTTTAAGAAAATGGCTCTCTATTTAAGCTTAGGCTTCTTCTGTCAAAGGCTAAATTCCATTACACAGTTGCCTTTTTAAAGTTATTTACTGAAAATCACACTCAAATGCTCAGTTACTGAGCAGTCTCCAATTTCGTGATCTACAAGGAAATGATGGTTTTGCAGGGAAAAAAATCCCTATGCCTTATGAATGATTAGCTGTTGATAATATGCTTTTTATATTCAGGAGAGATCTAGTGTATACATGTATTTACTGTATGGAAATGAATTGCTAAAATATTTTGTGAGCTGTCACCTGCATAGTTCCTTTCAGTAGCTTTTGAAACCCAAATGCAAGTATTTTTCAGCATACAAGCAAGATAAAAATGTAAACTGAAAAAATCCTGTGATTTTATAATCCCATTTTAAAAATTACTTAAATGGAAATACTAGCAATATAAATATATAAAAAACATAGAGTTAAATCTCAGATATTTGCTTGGAAGAAATACATACCAGAAAACAATGGAAAATTCCTCAGTAATGAGCAGTAGCATGTACACCCATCCTGTACAAATTTTGCATCTTTGTATTCTCACATTCAACTACTTAGAGATTTTCTACAAATGTATTAAAACTAGTTGTAATGAGTTTGGGTTTTCTTCCAGATAGTGAAGCAAGTACCAGTTGGATTTGACCCTAAAACTTTACATATACCAGCATATTCAGGTAGGGATCTACTGAGTATTCTAACAAGTTCTGCGTGTGCTGCTGTAACTCAATGTTATAAGACCTGTAGCCTCCCCCTGTAGATTATACATAGTCACAGTTTCAGAACTCCTAATAATTCTAAAACTATTGTTGTGTATGCAGTATTTTTACCTAGAACAATTTTGAGTAGCCTTTTCAATTACAAACACTTAAATGATATTCCTTTCTCTTCTGCTTTCTTGAGTTATGAGCCTGTGCTTAAACTTTTGCCATGAGGCAGTCATCAGTGTTTAGTGTGGGAAAACCAGCATATTTTTTTCCAACTGAGAGATTTAAACTGAAATATTCAACCAAATATATTACAATCTGACAAATGTAGGTGAGCAAGTGGCAATAAGATCTTAAAATATGCATTGTTGATCAGCCACAATACTAGGCAACCTTGCCAGTCCCACCTTTAATCATTAAATGTTATGGCACTCATGTCCCAAAAGATAATGTGAAGTTGTTTGGGGTTTGTCTTTTTGTTGTTAATTTTCAAAGTTTAGAAATATTTCTGACAAATAGTCAGCTCATTGTCACGAGTGTAACAATTCTTCCCATGGGACATTTGCTCTATTTTTTAAGGAAAATACTGGACTATGCTTGAAGAGGGATATCAACCAGATATGTAGTCCTTCTAGAATTCACATAGCATAGACGTAAGAGTTCATCTTTCCTTTCTATAAAAGGAAGAAGAGTTAATTGAAGAGTTAATTGAGGGAGTTTTAATTGAATAGTTAATTTGTAGAAGAAATTTTATATTTGGAAAGGAGCACAAAGTCCCTCAGTCTCCCAGTCAAAACTGTAACTGGAAATATTTTAAATTTGATTCATCCAAAAATGATCAGATTCCACTGCATAAGGAGAATATTATGTTTCATATTACATTTAAGTAATGATGTTCTGATATGTTTAACTCTTGTCAGTATTTATTTATTATGGGACAATATTTTTTATGGTTGTAATGCTTTCAGAGATGTAGCTTTCTTCTGGACAACTTTCTGATTGTCTTCTGGACAACTGATTGTTTTTGAAGATACTGAATTTGATGCTGCTCGTCAGTAATGATTAAAAATAATGTGGAAAAATTTCAATGAATACCTGAAAGCTGAACTTGTTTTCACCTTTACTAATATATCTTTGCCTGCATTAGAAGGTGTTGTTACTTAGGTGTGAATTGGCATAAAAGACAGAAAACATGCTTTAAATAGCCTGTACTAGAACATATCAGGGTGGCAGGTAAGTAATTAACAAATAACTACCAAAGCTGAGGAAATATATGGCTGCTAGATTGAAAGATTGAAATTAACTGTTTAGACTGATAAGGAAGTCTGAAAAAAATCTCATTTCATTTGCAGTGGTCAATTAATTGAACCACAGGATATATATTAATTGTACATGTGACTTGATTTCTTTGTGCTCTTTCGGAAGTCATCCATGTCCTGATTTGCTAAGGCTTAGCTAGGTGCATACCTACCAGTAGGAGTGATTATACATGTTTTCAGTTTATTTACTGTGAGCAGCTTTCACTGATTTTCACTGATTTTTGTTAGGTTTTGCCTCAAATTTACTTACAGGAAACTGCACTTAACTTATTAAGAATTAGTAATGATGAAGGACAACTGCTACCTTTCCTAAATATAATGCCAATAAGTGTTTCCTTAAATAAATGCCTTCGCAGATTTGCACTTTCAAAAATGTTTTGAGGCTTCCACTGCTGAATTTTTATCCTTTGTTTCTCTTGCTTCATTTTTGATTTCTGGCGTCTTCAGACATGAATTCTAACCTGCTTCTTTAGTATTTTAAGTCCTAAAATTATAATTAAATTCAAACTTTGGAACTTACTTATTCATGGTGATCTTATTTTGTAGTGTGTTAAAACTACATTTAAGATCCATTATCTTTAACTATTTGTTTTCCTCTCATGGTTAGTTGAGAAGTTGTCCTGTATGAAAGATGTGGACTGGAATAACTTCGTGAAAAGAGTGTGTTCCCTGCTTGAATGCAGCGAGAAGAATACAGGAGCAGCACGTTCTAAACTGAACTTACTGTACTATCTGTGCACTTTGGTTGTCCACAAGGAGATTGCAAACAGGCTAATTAGCTCTCAGCTGGTAAGTAATAAATCTTTGAAGGAATCAACATGGTTTATATATTTGACATTGTATCAAAAATTAGCTACTTTTAATTATACTTTAAAAAATCAATGGCAAAAATATGATGTTGATTAAAGTAAAAACAAAACCAACAAAAAATTAGATTACGTGTTAGATTTTTTTAAAGAGCTGAGGAAAACTAATTTTGTCTTGGATTTCAAATGCATTTGCATGTAGTTTTGTTGTATTACAGAAAATGTTGAGGTAAAAACTAACCTTTATGAAGAGTGTAAAATAATTGATGATGAAAAGTTAGTCTTTGTAAATCATTAAATGGCAGAGGATACTGTAAAGAGTTAATGTATGAATTAGTAAATTAATTTTATTTGGTCATATGTCTGTAAAGAATAGCAAGAAAGCTTTCTAAAGAATGGGCAGTAAAACTTTCAGTAAACAGGCCTTCAAAGAGTGACCATGCTCTCTGAAGACTCTGTTTTAGGGTTTCATATTTCAAAAACCATTTTCTACCAGACAAGCAATTTTACTACACTACTCTGTAGTGATTTAACATATTTCTTCAAGTCTTGCATGTACAGAAGTGAAACGGACTTATTTTTCCCCCCTTATGTAAAGATATTACAGAAGCTACCTTAAGATGAGCACTTTTCATTTTATTTAGTAGGAAGTAAACTACTTTGCTCTCCTACATTTGTAATAAGGTACTTAAGTTAAAAACTGAGATGTGTTATTGTTGAATATAAGATACTAAAGGCAAAATTGCACTACCAAAAAACTGGATGAAGAGCATTTAGATTGGAACCAGTGGTAGGCCTTATGGCATAACATTCTTGTGAAAACCAGAAACAGAATTGCTGGAAGGTGTATTCTATTATCACTGGAGAATTTGGAGCAAGGGGAAAAATAATTCACTAAGTGAATAGCCAATTAACAGAACATTTTAGAAATTAGTTAGTAATTATGCAGTTTGGTTCTTAAATGGCTGATTATATATGTTAGCATTCATTATTCTAGTATTTACCAACTATTTTGATACAGACTCAAAAAATGCTTTCTTTTATAATACTATATGATGATCTCTGTGCTTGTAGGTGAAAGAATCAGAACTTTTTCTCTAAATAGTGTTATTTAGAATGAAAAAAAATTTTGACATTCAGGTATATGTTTAGTAGTTTAGTTCAAATCAAAAATATAGAAAAATATTAATATTTTTCCATTCAGGCTTTTTTATTTTTATTTCTTTAATCAGTGTTTGCACAATATCTGCAGTATTTGTCTGTGATAATTCTCTTAGCAAATGTTATCCAAATACATTTTTATGAAATTTCTGGAATTTCTGATATTCTTGTTTATCATTTGGAACTATCAGATCATTGAAATTCACTGATGTTTATTTGTCTTCTTTAAACTACAGTTTCCTATATTGATACATCAGTTGCGTGCAGCTGCCCACTGGGATATGTAAGTAACAACTACTTTAAATTAATATGTTGAAATACAGGCTTGTCACTGAATTTTATTAAAGATATTTGTTAAGAGGTTATTTGAGGAGTTTTTTAGCCTGTCAGACTGCTGTGGTATCTGACTGGGAGTATGATGATATAAAATGGATTTTTTTCAGCATTGAATGAATATATTAATTCTACAGGACCAAAGGTTATAGAAAACCTCTAAAATTTTATCTAGATAACAGGGAACATAGTGTATCAAATAGAGTTACTTAAAATCACTGAATAAAATAACTCCATACCACAATTATAGTTATTTTACTATAATGGTAACTCTTTTTTCTCCCCTCAATACCTTTCAGGAATAGTTCAATGTGATAGTGCCCTCTGCTGTTTCTTTAGTAAACGTTGATTTTATTATTCCATTTTTTTTCTTTTAATGAAACATTGAAAACTGATTTGCTGATACAGGTTTAATTTCTGTTTTGTCAGCTATCCTGAAAAGCGTAAATTATCTGTAGGAGTTTTCGGTATTATATAAAAACTGAACATGAGCATGACTGTTAGTAATCCTAACAAACTAAAGAACCTTCACACTTCAGAGCCAGAGGAAAGAAATGTCTTTATGCATATATTTACTGCTAAATTGTGTTGAAACACCAAAATAACTTTTTGATATGAGGAAAACAGAAATATGAAGAAAGTATGAGCTGCAGATAGGATGTCAATTTTTTCTGCCCTTAGCAACCTGTGTGGAATATAAACAAGATATAATTGGTTTTTTTAGTATTTTGTAAATATATTTTCTGCACCTACAAAATATTTATTTGATACACAGACGTGCAAACATTGCTCGAGTGATTGGTTTACTGGCGTTACACACATCTGAACTTGAAGAAAATGTACCTGTTTTTGAGGTAACTTTCCTTTATATTTTCCAGCAGGGTGTTTTTTTAATTTTTACTGTTTATGTCAGAAGTTTTCACAGTGTTTTTTGTTTTGACCCCTGCTTTATTTTTAACTTATATGTGTAAAGTGTAATATAATAAATTAATTAAATGTATAAGTTTATGAGCTTATTCCATGTAGTTGTAATTCTGATTATTACTAACCTGTGGCCACCAATGATAAAATTAGCATTTTTCTCTCGTTTTCATAAAATCAAGTAGTCACTGTCCTACATTTTGTGCATGTAGAATAAGAAACTGTTGACACATTTGGTTATCCTGAAATATAGTTATTGTCATTAGTATAAAATAGTACAACTGATTCTTAGAGAATTTTTTTCAAAAAATAATTTATTGGGATGGGAAAATGTATTGAGAATACTTCAAAATATAATTTATTAATTTGAGGTTTCTTACAGTTCTTGAAGAATATGTGTAATGAAGGGGAAGTAATTTTCTTTGGAGAAGAAAAGCATATTTAATTCTTGTTTGATATTACATGGTCAGTAGTTGACCTAAACAGGAGACTGATTACATTATGTGACACATGCACACAGAATGTCAGTTTAGTGGGTGTTTGAATGTAAGACCCAACTGCTAAACACAAGCTCTAAATATTCCTGTGTGCTGTGCAGATCTGGTGTAGGAAAATATAATTAGTGGTTAATTCCTGACACTTTTGGAAATGCAGCTAAGGAAGTTTTTACTGGTTTAGGTACCCCTGGTTTCTTCTTAATGAATATTAGAAATGATTGTGATTATCTTGCTATGTTGCTGTTAATGTTGGCATTAACGTTGCCATTCTGTAGTGAAAGCTGAACTCAAAACATTATTGTTGTTCCTTAGTCTTTGCTGTTTGTTTTGTGAAATTCCAAAGTGGGGCTAAAGTCCTTATAGTTGCAGTCACTGACGTTTAGTAAATGTCTCTCAATACTGGCAGTTTCACAGCAATTGAATTCCATATCACAATTATGTGGCAGATTTTTTTCTGATTTTTAACTTTTTAAAGTAGTTTTGACATGTCCATGTGCCTTTTGGCTTCAGGTCTTTGTTCAGGTGGTTAGCAATAATATGTTTAGCAATAGTTGAACATAGCAATAGCTAAACATATTTCCCTAGCTTCCCAGTTTCCATCAGAAAACACATATCTAAGTCAGCTTTTGTATTTAAAAGCAATAGATTGAAGTAGTTATACATTGACCTGTAATATTATTTTGTTCAAAATATTTCCAGTGTTTTTTTAATTTGAACATATGAGCCATTCACAAATAGAATTTAACATTTTTAGAAGTATCCATATACGTCAGGAACCAAGTTAAGTCCAAGACCAGTGACATTTAAACTGAAGGACTAGAATGGAAAATTAACTTTCATTTTAACTTTCTGATCCCATTCTTATGTTAATTAAAATAACTTTTTATATACATTAATTGAGAAAATAAAGAATTAAAAAAAAATTAACAGGTTTGAGTTAAAAATGCGTCTACTGTGCTTTATTTAATGACATTCATTCCAAAATTTTTTCTCTCAAAGTAATATCTCTGAATTTAAAAATATTTTAATTTTTACACAAAATTAGAATGAGGAAAAAAACATTGAATTCTAATATTTTCATGTGTTCAAATTTATTTTTGCATATATAATGTAAAATCAAATAACTGCAGGCAGTACACAAAATTCAATAGTTCATTTATAAGAAAAATAGAAAGGAGTCATTTAGGAATTTCTCATCCAGAGGTGTATTCTCCTTTGCTCTCTTCAAAGGAATCTGTGGGTTAGTTGAATATTCTTGTTAACTGTCAGCTATTTTATGTTGTACGATGCTTAAAAAACACCACCACAAAGCAAACCTTTCTAGCAGCATTATATACAGAATTAAATATAATGCTGTAATTTATCCTTTCATATGAGCCATCTGATGCTCCAGGTAAAGTTTATTTTGGTGGCTGTTGTGATATAGGAAATATCAGAATCAAGTGTCTTGAGCTGAACAACATAATCTAAAATGACACTCTGTGATCCAGGTCTTACAGTCTGAAGATAGAGGACATCTCTCGCTTGGTAGGGTTTTTTGTATTTTTTCCTTCCTCTTCCTTTCCTAGTACCTTCTAATTTGATTTGGTAACTGTTTGATTTTTTGACCTGTTAAATATAAGTGATCTCCTTTAGCTCCTAAATTTGTTCCCTGGTATAAGAAATAAATTGAGAGTTTGTGAACATGCGATTCTGGAATTATTTTTGCCCCCTATGTGTACCTTGCTAGTTATATAAAGTTTTCTTTCCAGTTATTACTCAGTCATGGCCCCTTTACAGTTTTTTTTTGTTACCTCCTTATACAGTCATCACTTACTTGTGATTTCTTTGTACTTTGAAAGTAGCTCAGGACCTGGGAAAGAGTCGTGCAGGTTGCCACTGCTGGCCTCACATATTAAAAAGCTAACTCTTTATTTCTGCCCCCTACTGCCTTCTACCCACTTAGATATTTATTTAAGGATAGTTCTCTGTCCTTGAGGTTGAATCTGTACCATTACATTTTTGTTGTTGTTGTTGTTAAAATGGTTTTTTAAATAATAGTAGCATTAATCCCTAAAGAGACATAAAAACTTTAGGAAAGAAAAGAAGACTCAACCTCATTTTGCAGGCTAAAGTAAACTTTCACATAATGCATGCCAAAAGCCTTTAATTTACTTATCTTTGAAAAATTAATGTTTTGGGGTTTTAAATTTTTTTTTTCAAGCAAGCAGGGAGCAGCAGTTTCCTTTGACAGCAACCACCAGATGTCACTAAAACACAAAATAAAATGCAAGTAAACTTCTGTTTTACAGGCTAGGGACGCGTGGAACAGTGTACTTTCTTTATTCTGCTGATGTATTTGAGTGTGTAGGTTATATTAGAAAAAATTAGAATAAGTGAATATTTATATCTGTAAACTCAATTGCAGTTGATCTATTTCCGGTTAAGTATTTTGAAGAAGTATATTGCATTGACTAGAAAAAATGGCACTGATCTTAGAATACAATAGGAGAATTGATCTCATGTAAAACTGCAGATGAAGACATTTTATGTGCAATTTCTTCTACTGTGCAGCTGCAATAAAAGATTTTAATAAGTCATATGTTTTTTTCCTGACTTAATACAATTTTTCCCCCATGGAATTGCCCTATATAAATCTGAAACATAATTTCTTCTTGTTTATTGTTTGTTACCTTAGGAAAGCACCTAAACTTTAAAGTTTTATTTTTGTATTCAGATTTTGAAACTGGTTATTAAAATTCAGTGAAAAAAACCCCATTCTTTCCAGGATTCTGTTCTTCATCTTACAAGAAAAAAATTCTTCCATAGTTAGGAAGGCTTGTTTCGATGTATATCTAATTTGGTGTATTTATTAACAGAAGCTATTGTCCTTTTCTTTCTGTGAATAAACTGGGCCCTCTGCCACCTAAGATGCAGACATTTGGATGTGACATTTCAGATTCAGTCTATTATTTTACTAAGAGATGATAGAACAACTTGACAGTTTGCCTGTGTGTCAGGGGAGCAGTGTCCTTCTCTGTCTGGAAGGACACCACCCTGGAGTTGTTCTCTGCCTGGCCTTTTTGGTGTCAAAATCTAGTCCTTTTCCTTACCTTTCTCAGATTTGGTAAATGGGAATATAAATCTCACCCTATGGCCTAGGCTGTTGTGCCTGTTTTTTAACAGACCTCGATCCACTGCTCTACTGAGTATTTAAAGGGTTCAGAGAACCTGGTGCAGCCTTCACACTGCAAGCTTCTTCACAAAGGCTTTGGCTTAATGTATTCCATGGCTAAATTAATACATTACATAGCCCATGAAGGATGACAGCATATCAGAATATCTCCATAATACTGAGCTTTGATTGCTTTGTCAAAGTGGTGAAATATCCAGATTTCTGTTTTCATCCAAACTGAAACTCCATATAATTTGAGCCATTTAATTTCTGACTTTTTATTAAAGTACAATTTAGTGATTGTTTTCCACAGCTGGAAAGCAGCTATATTATTACAGGCGTAGTTTTATGACCTATAACTCTTATATATACTCTAGCCAGCTCATTGTGGCTACACTGTTTGAGGTCTACAGTTTGTTGTCATTCAAATTCTTACAGAATGCCAATTTTAAGTCACTTTCCTAGCTTACCTCTCTGATAACTCCTGTTTTTAGGCCTATCATGTCTGCTCATATTGCAGTGATTTAAAAAAAAAAATTGGTTGATTAGGCCATTTATTCCACACCTATTTAGTTTTAATATTGTTTTATGGTAAAACAACTTTATAAATTTTCTCAAAAATTATTATAATTTTAGTGTATCCTTGTTTTCTCCAAGGACCCTTTCCTTGTTTTGATCTGATATGTCTTACATGGAAAAAAACCCCAACATGTAACAAAACCCATCAGAATTAAAGAAAATCTGTAGTCAGGAGATAGAATCTGTAGGAAAAGTGTATGTGTGAGTATCTACATGTGTTCCTATACACACATATTATGTAACTTGCTTAAAACATTACAGTTATCTTTCTGACATAATCAGGATTGTCACTTAATACTTTGGTAACACTGAGAGGGGTTCCATTTGAGTTTTTTGAGTGACTTCTAGTAAACTTTCAACCCCTATAATAAATTTATTCAATTTATTTTCAACAACCTGGTTCATTGAATTATAACTTGCGCACTTCCCCGAGGCACGTGGCAGGAAAACAAATGAAAAATTGTCCAGGTGTGTTTGAGAAAAATTCTTCTGAATTAATAAACAGAAAATGGAAATATAATTAAATTAACAGTGACTATATCAAGCATGGCAATTCTGGATTATTGGAGAAAATATTAAGACCTTTTATTATAACTGAAGATCCTTCTTTTTCTTCTCTCAAAAAATTATTTTTATCAATCCAATTAGTTGGGCTTGCTTTATGTTTGAAGTTTCAAGCAGGCTGGTAGTAGAAAACAAGAAA